GCTATGGAGTCCTTGGTGCTCTCTGAGCTTGGTTGTTTGCTTGCAGATGTTTCATTACCCAACTAGGTAACATCAGTATGATCATGGATGCTCACCTCAGACTAAACAAATACCAGCACACCATAGATAACCTCAAGGAGCAACTAGAACATACCAAATTCTACTTTTGTATGGAGGGGAGGTGCTTACAGAATGCCTTTTTGTGCTACTGAAATAAGGAATGGCAAGGAACAACTGGTTAAAATGAGTATATGCTGTATTTTTAATGAGACCATAACATTTAAAGTAATAAAATATACCATATCCTATCCTGCTTACTGAACTTGAAGTATGTCCTGTATACTTGGACGCTGTTCTCAAATTAGTGTGAACCTAAGGTAGATCAATATCTACTGAACAATTTCTGGAGGCTTTGCAATAGAATAGCAAGTGTTTCAGGCTAACCCTAACCCACCTGTTTTGCCAAAGAAGATCTCCCTCCATTTCTTCTTAAATTAGGCCACTGAAATTAAGGAAGCTTGAAAAAAAGTAGATTTTTATATAGGAAAGCATACAATCCAGTTCTGAAATTGAAAACATTTTTGGTCTTAAAAGTTGGTTCTAAATGTTTAGATGCCCCCCTCCCTGATTCCAGTCATTGTTTTGCCTCTGATTCTAGCTCATGTTTGAAGTTCTAGGAAAAAGTAGTAGTTCCCCAAGTGTGGATCTGCCCACTCATTTTGTCAGAGGTTCATATAAAAAGGAAGGAGAGGAATGCATGCTCATTTAGTGAGTACAATGCTAAGTTGTGATAAAGCCTGAACAGCTGGTTGAGGTTAGACTTCAATGTCTGTTCCATGAAGCCCATTAGTAACAGTTGCTACATAATATTTTAGAGAGCTGATGGCTTACTAAAAGCTTCAGATTATAAAGAATAGCATTTTACTTAGAAGCTTGATAAGGAGAAAGAATTTCAGTGTGCAAAACCCAGATATTTTCTGTATCTGCATAGGAATACTGTAACTGCAAATGAGTTTTTTGGGGGGATGGGATGGGATTATATACAGAGTTTTCCTTCTGTTTACAAAGTTCTAGATTAATTTATTCAAGTGTGATCCCCTCAAGGCATGTTAGACTACAACTTCCATCAAAGACAGCAGGCTTGGCCACTGGGAATTCTAGTCTAAAACTAGACAACCTGTGACTCATTGAGTCATTGTTTCAGAGATATTTCCTTACCTAAACAGAGAAACAGAATGACCAAGGGCAAAAAAGCAGTGGCAGTGTGAGCAACTTACGACTTGCTGCTGGCTTCCCCATTGACTTTGCTTGTGCAAAACTGGCAGGGAGCATCAGCAGTCTTCCTTCTCTCCCTCCAGCTTCCCCACTGACTTTGCTTGTGTGAAGCTGTCAGGGAGCATCAGCAATCTTCCCTCCCTCCCTCCCTCCCTCCGACTTCCCTGCTGACTTTGCTATTGCTCCCTGCCAGTATTGTACAAGCAATCTTCCTTCCCTTCCTCCGGCTTCCCCGTTGACTTTGCTTGTGCAAAGCTGGCAGGGAGTGTCAGCAATCTTCCTTCCCTTCCCCTTCCCCTTCCATCCATCCGTCCATTTGAGGTACCTTAGTTCAAAAATTGTTGCCCTATGGCACACTATTTTGCACAGTTGAAGGTTACAGACATGAGAGTTTTAGTAGTATATAGATATCTCAAGGGTACCACGTAGAAGGCTGTATAGAAATTTCAGAGTTCCATAAGTGAGAGAGTAGACTAAAGGCCATCTGCCCTTCTAATAAACAATCCTATCATATATCATCAGGGTTCAAGTTTTGTTCTTCAGCTTAGCAATCAGCAGAGAACTGATTCATTAGGCAATGAGCAAAGTGTATTTTCTCCCTAAGCCTTTGCAAAAGCCTAAAATGAAGGCTTTTTTAAATGTCTTTCTCTTTAAATGTCTTT